GAGCATGCAAGAGACTTAGCCGACTTAGCCTTCTGGCAATCATCGTTCTAGTTGCGTCATCCTCCAGTCACGTGGACACGCGTCCGACCAGAAGAAGCCCCCCGTGAGTCGCGGGGTTGGGCAGTTTTTTTTCGGCGCTTTGGTGTCCCACTCAGGCACATTTGGTGAATGCTGTGACCTACAGCTCTGTCCTGAAAAGCTTCAACCACCGCAAGCTCTTTCATCGAGTCTGGGAGGTCTATGATGAGATGATACAGCAGAAGGCAGAGCCGACAGAGCTGTATTCAAGGCTGAGGCTTCATGTTAGAGCAAGGCTGTATCTCAGGGTTCTGGGTTTGGTGGTTCCGACTCGGTGGGATGCATCTACCCCCCTACCACGGACGCTGGACGGAAGTGATAGAAAGATGATCAGCACCACCCCACCCGGTTTTCAAAGAAATACGCGGAACAAGCAGGTGGAGTTCTCGGTGAGCACCTACAATGCTTTGTTGGACGTGTGCGCGCGCAGCGGCAACATCAGCCGAGCGGAACCCTTGTTGAAGGACATGGCGGATCAAGGCGCAGCGACGACACCCATCGCGCGGCGACGGTGATACGGTCAGATCCGTTGGTGGAAGCGACGTGCTACATGTGTTGGAGGGCCACCGCTTCTAGGTTGGAGGCCAGGTGTAAGAGTGTTCGAGTCATAGACGGCCTTTTCTTCTAATATAGCTGGTTGATTCATAGAGGTGAGACCCCCAAGCGTACAAGCAACAGGCATATGGTACTGGCACTGACCCCTCTTGTATGTCGAACAGATAGCAGCATTGCTTCGATAGCACGGTGCCCTTTCTGAAAAGGTGACCACCGTTTCACTGTGCACCGTTGTCCTGGTCCTGGCACGTGCTGCCGGGTTTGTTCCTCTCAGATATCAGATATCCAAGTCAAAGCTCAAGACGAGTGGTGTCCTGATGCTCACACGGCTGCCGGACACTCGAAAATGAACGATCATAGCATCCCATAGAAGTTTATTTTTTTTGTATCTTCCCGTCGCCTTTTTGAGGTGACTCATTCAATCTCATTCAGTTGCTTTACTACTGTCAGGAGTAGCCCCAAGCATCATCACCTTCAGCACCGTGATCAAAGCATACTGCGCCGCCAACCGGCTGGAGCAAGCCTTCCGCATTTTCGAGGACGGGGAGAGGTTGATGGCATTGACTCTTAGAACCTCTTAGAGAGAGCAGCGACCAGGAGATCCAACGCAATGGTGCGGTGAAAGAGGCGATCACGACACCGGGATGAGTTATACATTGACTCAGCCGCCCCCCAAGTGGAGGGGTACTTTTAGCAGTCAAGACTGCAGGGCAAGTGGATACACAGAAATTGGCACATTTGGTTGACTTCGTGCCATTGTCTCAATCCATCAATCCATCCCACATCCATCGTGGTGAGACTTGCAACCAGTATGCTTGCCAACGACCCTCCAAACCATGGGAGTCTTCTCGTCGGACGCCAAATGGCTGGCTTTCTCGTCGCGAGGAGATGCGCCGCAACACGGAGATCAAAGCGGATGAAGTGACCTTCAACACCTTAATGGATGGCTGTGCGCGCTATGGCCTCTTCGACCGGGGCTTGCAGGTCTTGATGGACGCTCGACATCCTCGGTCGGTCCTTGAGGGGAGCAGTTAGACGGTGGAAGGGTGGAGAAGTGGGACTCGGCACAGATCGGTAGATGTCGGTAGGAGCCCCCAGCTGTGCATTCCGCAGCGAGAAGGCTTTTTGGGCCGTGGATGTGCAATCTACTCAGCCGGCATCCCGTTGGTTGGAACTCTCACTTGTGGTGGTGCTTCGTGGGGTACCTACGCGCTGTGTTGGGCCAGTGTGAAAGAGACGATTTTGTTCTGAGATGTTGCAGACTGAGGACATGCAGAAGAGCGGCATTGCGCCCAGCACTTTGCTTGCACTATATAGCCGCCAGATGCTAGTTTTGCGTCTCCTCCAGCAAGTGGCGGTCATTATTATCCCATTCAATGATTGTATAAAGAACAAAGAATTCATTGCCAATGCGTCGCAAAAACAACACTCCTCTCTACCGCTGTCACGCTGTCCTTCATACCGACTCCCGCTCGGCGAAGCCAGGCAACTACACGTTGTCGGTGGTCGCCAAGCTCGCCAGCCGCAGCAAGAAACCCAAGAAGGCCTTCAGCCTCGTCGAAGACTTGCGCATCTCAGCTGCTGTGGGGTCGAGACGGAACGTGTGCCGCGAATCTCGTCCAAAAGCCCGGTAAGCACGGAAGAAAGAGGCTCCTCTCAGGAACGGGCCATATTGTAATTGTATAGAATGTGTGTGTTTTTGTGTTTGAGGCATGGATGTGTTATTGCTGAATGTCATGAGCTACGAGCTTCAGTTACTTGTGCCACATGCCAACCCTCTCTGATGAACCATCATCAATCATGACAGGGACTTGGCGTGTATAGTGGCGTGTATATATATATATATATATACATACACACACACACATATATATATATACACATAAGCCACACTCAGAGACCCACGCAATCAACTGGCTGCTGCCTGTGCAAATCAATCCGTGCAATACAGCTCTTTTCTATGGCTCCGTTGCAGCTGAGGTAAAGAGTATGGGATCAAACTGAACATGCATGTCTACAACAACCTGATCCAAGCCGCCATCGGTGACAATGACTCCTGGAAGGCGCGAAGTTCCAGTGCATCAGCTTGCCCATGCTTCCCCCCCCAAATGACCTATAGTTGTACCGCGGCATGATTCCTATTCATTCCCGATTGGACTGTGCGAGCCTTTCAGAATCTTTCAGATCATGGATCCACTACCTGGTAAATGCCCACACGATAGAACCATTCGGTGGTCTCTGCAAAGAAAGGGCAGGGGGGTCACCGCTGATTGGGTCACCGCTGAGCGTTTCCGTGTCCCCGATCCTTCGGAGGCACAGGAGGTCTTTGCAGAGATGCTGAAGAGCAATGTCCAGCCTGACGGGAGGACTGATGTTGGGAGCTTCATGTTGCAGCTGTGCGTAGAAGAGGCACACCAAGAAGACTGCAAGAAGGCACAAGAAGGCACCCGACATTAGGGTATATGACTGTTTGACTACTATGGTCCCTGCGTCAGGACCTACAACCTCCTGCAGCCTGACAGTCTGGTGGGTTGGTTGGGAGAGAGGTGCAGGTCATCCACATTTGGTCAAGCCTCTTTGGAGTCCCGGAACAGGAGTCAGGACATGTAGGTGAGGCCTGACGTAAGATCCAAATATCTCCCAATCCAGTGAGTTTCATCGCATGATGAACTGTGACCCGGTCCACTAGACATGCATGAGGCTGCGATTCTTGGTGTCCGAGAGGGCGGTGGTGTCCTTGGTGGCTCTCCTACGGGTGGCGTTGGGTTTGAAGCTCCAGATGCACGAGGATGAGGTCGAGCACTTGCATCCTTCCTTGGTTTCAGCTCTCCAGCGACCTATGGAGTGGGCCAAGGCATGTTCTGACCGAACAGGTGTTTGGGAACCCAGTGCTGGTCAGAATGAGAAGAGACATTCTTGTTGGGTTTTCATGGACTGGGTCTTTCCAAAGGTTAAACACATATTCTGCGTGCTCAGTGCCGCACCTTGCTGCATAGGATTCCGTGTTTCTCTCGTGTGCTCCCTGGCTGTAGGCACCATTCCATGGCAAAGCTCCGTTGCAGGAAGAACCTTGGTGCTAGTTGGTCTTTTGGGGCAACTGTTCGTCTTGGTCGGTCCGCCCCCTCTGGAAGGCAAGCTTTGTTAATGTTAATTTGGAAATTCGTTGATATGCCAATTTACTTGAAATGGGAAAAAGTGGGGTGGAGTTTTACGAGTCGATGAGTTGGTTTACGAGTCGACGAGTTGGTGCAGAGACCCAGTTGGGTCGTTTCTTGCGAGTGATGTTGGGCGTCCGTTTCAAGGACGTGCTTCGTGAAGCAATCGAGTGCGCCAAGCACTCGGCGGTGGAATGCTCCTCGAAGCTCGTCGCAGACATTCAGAGGTCACTGCCGTGGATGAAGATGACGAAGTAAGCGCAGCATAGCGCAGAGAGGCCAGTCGCACTGACGTCTCCACTGTTCCCACGTCTCCACTCTGCTGCTTCAGCCACTGGAGCACGTTTGAAGCAGAGCTGGGTGCGCCAAAAATGGCCGGGCCAGCCATGGCAGGTCGAAAAGAAGCCAAGCGACTGGGAGGGTTTTTCGCCGGCGATCCTAAACTCTCCACCTCGGCTTCTGGTCTTAGTCAATGCCAAACAACGCCTAGGTTTCAACATGTTCAACGATTCTCCTTTTGAAAAGAAACTGTTTGCATAGATCTGAAGTGGCAACACTTGGGACGAAGGAACCCCAAAACCAATGGGGGGGGAACTGCAGGTCGACGGGTCAGGAGGTGATCTCTTCTGGTTGGTTTGGCTGCCTGGAAACACGGCTTACTGTGGGGGGCAAAGGACAACTTAGGCTGCTGCAGTCCCCTTTTTGTTGAGGCCTTCACTTTTATTCAATTGGTGTGTAAGGTGGTGATATGTGGGTCACAAACACACATATATAATAAGATGCAGTTACCAATGTCCCAATGTTTGACACCCGTTCGGAACCCACCGTACAGACCGTACAGACGTCACAAAACATCGCCCTTCAACATCGTTCTCCGTTGGAGCGATGATCCACAGGTTGCCCTCAACATCCTTGATCATCCCCCAGGAAGGTTGTCCTTCCTCATTTTTTCACAGACTCCTTTTACCCTAAGGTGGCTCTTAGGCCCGGCATCTACTCAATAAGAGGCCGATCACGCAAGAAGGGCCTGCGACCCTGGACACTTCTCAAAGACATCCAACAATAACGACCTAGTCACAATCAGCAAGCAGCCAGAGCCATTGAGGGCCATGAGCAGGCATGTCTGGGCCTCACCCGAATTCCACCACCTCAAAAAGCACGCACAGCACCAAAAGCCAGGGCCTTTGGCTTTCCGGAATGCTTCAGCCGCAGGCATCGCTGCCGCGCAGCTGGAGATCTTCTCCGTGGACCTCGGCCACATCGCGGCGCCGCTGGAGGATCCGCAGCTGCTCCTCTCGCCGCAGCTGCGGGGGCGGCTGCGACGGCCCAGCCCAGTGGAAGCGGAAATAAGGAGATGGGCAAGAAAGGGGAAGTAAAGGAGTCTGGCATGAGAAGATGAAACTTGAGGTGGAACTTGGTGTTTTAAACACTTTTTGCGTCGGCTTTTTTCTCCGTGAAGAGTTTAAGCATCACGCAAACGGGAGCCGGCAGGCAAATCAAAGAAACGTCTATGTCTCACCCACTCTTACGACTGCTTTTCGACCGATGCTGCTGCTGGCTCACCTGTACCGAGCCCGGCGGCCCCTGCCAGCGGTCATGAAGGTTGTTCCTGGTGTGAACCACAAAACCGTCAGGCCTTTCATGCCACTTCCTACCCATCCTACAGACCCAACTTTCCAGATCTAGGCATGTTTCAAGTCTCAGAAATCTTAGTTATCGACGCATTTTTTGCCACCACAAGTCTGGACTGTTGGCGCCTCAGGATGTCGCAGCTGATCCTTTACATGCCAACTCCTCACGAGACGCTACAGCTGGGTCAACTTCACATGCCGGACATCTATGTGCAGGCGATCTGATGGCCATTCCCAGTCGCTAGAGAAGCCTCGTCAAACCCTCGTCCCGGTGTGGCGTTCGAGACGCTCGGTTCCGCTCGGTTGGCTTGGCAGGCGAACCGCGATTGGTGGATGAATCTCACGGCCCGTGTGGTCATCGAGAATCTCACAGCCTTGGGCTTGGCAGGCGCGCAAAAGAAGAAACAACCAATCGCGTGACGGCGTGCGCGTCTTGTTTTTCTCGCTGCGCGTCCGGAGCACTGATGAAGGAAAACGCCTTGCAAAAGCAATGCAGAACTCAGAGCACACAGAAAAAAAAAGGATAGAACGCTAAATGAATGTACTGCATATAGAGTTCTGCTTGTGTTGGGAATCGAGCTCATGATCATGATGGTTCCGGTCAATCTTCCAAAGTGAGCAATCTACATCAATCAACCATTTTCATGCTGATCAAAGGTTGACATGCACCGACGCGGACTGGCAGGAAAGCATGTTGTTCAAGAGTCTCAGTCCTCCTGGATGGTTCGCGGGCAACTGGCGGTCCCGTGGCAAAACATGTGGTCAGAACAGACAGTGGAGAGATATGTAGCAAACATATAATAACATATGCACATAGATAGGCAAGCATTGCCAAGCTGCCTTTTCTTCGGGGGCTACTCCTGAAACAAAAGCATCCTACTGGTGTAGGTGTTGGTGATTTTGGCCGCGAAACGGTTTGGCTTGGATCACTGGGAGCTGACTTCCCCCGTTTCTCCACCGCATGGAGACCGTCTCGAGTCCGTTTGGCTTAGATCCCATGAATCCCGTCTCTCATGATCCCCAGGAGGGCTTTATATAGATCCCGTGACACACACACACACACACGACTGAGCAATACAGTGCCTCAAGAGGCTCGTCACTCGAAACTCTCGGGTCTACTCCTTTGCAGGGCGGGGGTTCGCCGTGCCCTTCTTGAGAGAGCCTGAGAGCCCTTTTTTTGTCAAAAGGCCTCCATGGAGTCCTTCTGAAGTCCCGACGTTCGTAGAGTCAAGACATGGCCCAGGTCCGTTGCCACGTGTTGGGCTTCTTGGTGCAGTTGTCAAATATTAGCTTTGAGAAGTTGGTGGACTTGAAAGGCATAGCTGGCTTCGCGCAAGACGTGAGTCCCATCACGATGCAGAAGGTCACCAAGGCTGAAGGAGACTTAGACCAAATCAGAGCTCTGGTGGGGAAACGTATCAAACAACTGCACGCAGATGAACGCATCTTTGGACTTCCTAATCTGGATATGCCGCATAGAGTTTTGGAAAGACCCACCTTCGTCGAAGGTTTTTGGACGTTTTTTTGGTCGTTTCGCGTCCAGGACATGCCCACCATTTGGACACAACAGTGCTCATCAATGTGATAAATCCCTCGTACTTGGCTGCTGACTTGGAAGGCCCGTTCCACTTCAACGTGACGCAGCGAGGATTTTTCCTTGGCACAGCATCGCTTCCCAGCGTCTCATGTCTGTCTACATTGCTCCAAGAGTTTTGGTTAGCTTCATCCTTCCGCGGGCTTTTGGCACTTGGGTTTCCTTTCAGCCACCACATAGGTTGCGCAGATCGCTGGATAGGAATTGGATGGAATTGGTTCCTAGAAGCAGGAAACATAATGAAACATCTAGAAAAGCCAGAAAGTGCATCATAAGCCACTGAACTGCTACCTTACTACTTAGTGCATTGTTTAGTAAGTATAGTGATGGCGTCTCCGGGTCCTTCCCCACAAGGCTTCCAACTGACATTGACTTGGGATTTCCGACACTGAGCGCCGAGGTGTCCTTGCGACCTGGACGGATGACCCTCGCAGTGCACTTCGTTTTGGCGGCGGAGGGCGGGGCTACGGCCCAGGAGCAGGCTGCTTTGGGGGCTTTTCTGACCGGCTACATTGGCGCGCAGGTGCAGAGAGTGAGTATGCTGGGATCGTCGAGGCGGGAAGGATTGTGGCTTGGTGTTGGTCGGATTTAGGGTCACAGTGTTGAGTTGGATATGTGAGTCTTAAGTCCTTCTTGTTTAGGCTAGGCCGAACGAGAGAAATCGGTTCCGACCTCCGAGAAGCGAATGGGTTCCACTTGTCGGTTCGGTTCGGTAACCACGTTCGGTCAGCTCAGTCATACCAAGCCACGCCAAGGCTGAATCAGGTTGAAGTCATGTGAAGTCGGTGTTTGTGGCGTGGCGTGAGACTCTGGTGAGGTCCAGCGCCAACCCGGTCGCAGCAGTGGTTCTGGATGGCTTGCAGCTGACCTTCCGCTTCCAGCCTCCCGAGGTGACGAACCGAGAGACCTGAAGGGGGCCTTGGGATCGGGTACTGTTCTCGCTTGAGTACGCAGACCACGCCCCGCCAGACCATGTCATCCCAGGAACTGGATTGATGTCCGGAGGCGAATGAATGGTATAGACTTAGCCCCCCAGACGTGGACAAACAACGTGCAATTTGACAACAGCGTTTCGGTATCGCTATGTCAAGGTCAAAGGTCCGAGTTCGAACGGCACTGGATTCCGCGACTAGGATTCCGCAACTGGGCGTCCGCAACAGTTCGGGCAGCAACCACAGGCCCCAAGGATCCAAGCAAAAGCAAACACAGGGGTGGGAGGGGTGAGGCGGGGTCCGAACAGGCGTCTCTCAGCTGAGCATTGAGTTGCAACACCTTAGGTTGCATTGCAACAGCCACAACGAAGGATCGACGTTTGCAGCAGATGTATAAGCTCAGCATGGCCGTACAGCTATATAGTTTCTTTGGACATCAACGTAGGCCCAATTTGTCTTGATGTTTGCATTTGCGCTGAGTAGTCGTGGACCAACATTCAGTTTCAACGGGTTCCTTGTAGTGACGTTTGCATACGTTGACATAGACTGTAAAGCGGAGGGAGCGTGTTAATGAATGTACAACTCTGCTTTTGACATGTCCTTGCGCAGGTTCTGGGTCAACTAAAGGCCTTGGGCCAATCTTTATAGTACAGAGCCCGACAGAAATATGCACAACAAGAGACAAGGTGCGACATCAGAGTGTGAACACTTGTTCACCAGCTTCTTTACATGATCCTTTGTTGGTTTGTTGGTTGGTTCGTTCGTTTGTTTGTTCTCCGCCTGCCAGGTGAGGGTTAGATTTTGTCAGAACTGTCCTCTCCTCTCCTCCTTGCCTTCTCCTCCACAAGTACCAGATCGCAGTGGGCACCGCCGGACTCAACAGCGAGCGCTGGATCGCAGGGGGCACTGCCGGACCTCAACCACGAGGGATGGCCCCAACGACGAGTGCTAGATCGCAGTGGTCAGCACCAAACCCCAGATCGCTGTGATACCACTGTGACCTGAACCAGATAGAATGCCAGAATACATTCCCCATATGCCAGATAGATCTTCAGAGTGCCACAAGAATGTCTGAAGTATGCCACATAGAAGGCCGGAATTTATGCAAAGTAGAGTGCCAGAACATATGCCAGAATGTGAGCCCGATAGAATGCCAGAATCAGAATATGCCAATAGAGTGTCAATAGAGTGCCAATAGAGTGCAAGAATATATGCCCCATAGACAGCAAACATTAGAAATGCCAGATAGAGCCAGATAGAACGCCCGAAACTTGCAATGCTGTGTATGCAAGATAGATGTTGAAGCAGTAAGGCCCCCGCTTATCGATGAAGTATAATGCCATGGTGGGGGTCGCCCTAAGTAAAGCAGATTTTGGTTGGAGGCTTGGCCAGACGCGTCGTACTCTTGACATACATGCGTTGTGTGGTGGGCAATGAATTTTGCAGATGACACGGCCAACGCTGTCGTGTATCGCGTCATGCTTGGCAGCAGCCAAGCAGCAATCGTGGCGGTTGCTGTTTGAGGCAAGTTTCATCCATCACATCAACGCGGATGTGGGCCTCGTTGGACTGCAGGTGACGTCGGAGGTGGTCAACCCGCGCTTTGGTTTTAAATTATGTCTCGGCATGGTCAAAAACATGGGCAACTGGGAAGGCGCGTGGTCCCAGGTGCCTTGATGTTGAGAGAGCGCAGCGCCAAGCTGTTGAGCGCAATTTCGCGCAATGCAATACTGCCCGCCAAAATTGATGAATTCTCGTAGTTCCCACCGTTCCTGTCCAATATTGGTTGAACATACATTTTCATCAGCCCCGAGACCAAGCATGAACGAATCATGATTGTGTGTATTTTCCTTTTGTTTTCTCTATACATCCTTTACTCTTTGGCATCTCGCAATGAAACCTGCCCAGGTTGCCTCAAGTGATTGTGCTCAATTCCATGGACCTTTCGATCCGAGAGCGGGACATCACGGGTGAAAACATTTTCCACTTGAAGGGGAACGCCACTTCAGGCGGGACCGGCATTAGACATATCAACTATATACCTGTCAATGCGGTTCTGTGGGGGGTCTGAATCAGCTTTGTTTGATGATTTGACACTTTGGTTTATTCCTTAGAGAGGGTTTGCATATATTCAGAGCGCCCAAGAATCCTTGCAGGAATGCCTTCAGAGATTCTGGGGTTCCCGATTTGATGGTGCTTTCTTCTTTTGTAGGCCTTGGTGGCCAGCGATTGCCGCCTGGAGCTTCCAGATTTCATCTTTCCCTCAGTGGTTCTTCTCAATTAGTGGGACGCCTGCATCCGCTTTTGGGCTTGGGGATTCAGTGGATGAATGGAGGCAGTATGAGGTGGTCAATCTTTTGGGATTTTGGCGAATGGACGACATGGGCCTCATCCAAGGTGGTCATCTAAGCCGCTTAAACGAAATCAGACCGCATGGGATGACATGAGTGTGTCTCCAACGTGGGATCTGGTAAGCAAATAGCAGATACGTGCGACAGCCTTCAGTTGACCTATGTCGAATTCTAGCTCTAAGACCTTCACTGACAGATCGGGAGATGGCCTCCGTTTTTAAGGCACATTGGATGCGAATTTGAAGGACCTCCTTTTGATTGGCCGATTGAACCTTGCCTTCACTGTGCCAATGCTTCAAGCATAAGCCAAGCCGTGACGCACATGTTGAAGGCCTAGACTCGTCCAGGCCTTTCTGGACTCATTTCTTCCTGGACTCCGGGCGCCGCCCAAGTTCCAAGCCAGCTGAGGATTGAGGATGCAGTGGATGGAGCTTTGGTGGTGGGTGTGTTGGGCCCTCTCTCCATCACCATCCGCCCGGACTTCAACTTGCAGCTGGGCTTGGCATCGCATCGTCCGCCGGTCCGAGGGTTGTGACCGAACTGTTCCGTCTTCGATGTGGCAGGGCGGTGAGGTGGCGATCGCAGCGTCAAAGGTATTGAGGTCGCGATCGGTCCTTTTTGAAGGGATAGGACGTTTGAGTAGACACCAGCGTTTTCACGTGAAAGCAAAGGAGACAGACAGACAGCCAGCCAGGCAGGCAGGCAGGCAGACAGACGGGTTTCGGACGTCGTTTTGACCTGAGATGACCTGAGGACCGTGCAATACGCTGCCAATGGCGTGACTGCAAAGCTTTCTTGTTTGGTCGTTTGCGGCTCCGCCCACAGTGTCCTAAATCCAGGCACTTGGTTTCGCACGCCTGAGAGCTAGATGGATCATCCTTGTGCTGGACCCCTGGCGACCAGCTCTGGAAGCAGGCAGAATCGGAGTGTGGAGCTTTGCACGCCACTTGCCTGGCCGCAGCTTCGCAGGTGGAAAAGATGTGCGCTCTTGGAAGCTTACACCTGTTTGGAGAGCTTCTCTGGAAAGAGGGCTTGCTCAAGATAGGTGTTTTTTGTGCAAATCTTCTCCATGTTCACCTTGACTCCAGCAAGTCTCTGAGGGCTTAACGGCTTAAAGCGTGTGTTGATGATCAGCGTGGGGAGATGATCAGCGTCTGCCGAGGCAGTGCTTCTTCGTGGCTCTGGTTTGGCAGACACTTCGTGAAGGCGTGAGCGCGGGGACTAGGGGCGTCTCATCCTGTTGGGCTTGAATAGAGATAGTGGTTGGGACGCGGCTGGGACAATCGAAACCCTGACTTGGAGTGTAGAACGTGGAAAGATTGGTACACGTTTTTGGATGTTTTTGGAGCGTACAGCACAAGGTTCATGGGCATGGCATGGGCGAGTTGCTAATTTCCCACATAAATCACATCATGATAGGCGTCCACATGTGAATTAGGTGACGGTGCAAGCTTTGAGACAAGCAGTGCCTCAATATCGAGACTTGGGGTGTTTTGTCAAGACGTCTATACTTTTCATTCTTGCAATGCTCACGTGGGGCACCAGGTTGGACGCACACACACACACAGCTGATGTTGCCTACCAGGCAGCAGGCCTTTTCTTTGGTCAGTTGCGCAGCACAGAGAAGGAACAGACACAGAGAGATACTGGCGATGCAGGGAAGCCGCCCCGCGTGCCGCGGGGAACGGCAAAGTGAAAAAAACGTTTTGACTCGGTCGGAGAGACTGGCTCGTTTTGCTTTGGCAAACATCTGATCCCGCCGTCTTCTCTGCTTTTCGCCCACGCGCGGACTGGAATGCTGCGAGTTGCGCAACTCGCAGCAGAAGGAGAGGTGTGGCACCTGCCGGAAGGTCCCGCGACCGTGGCCGACCGGCTTCCGTAATGCGTCACAGGCGTAGGTCAAACATGGTCAAAACATCAGATGCAGCCTTCTGGGTTTGTGAACTGGAAAGTCCTCCGGAGCTGATGACTCAGTCGTTGTTTGTGGCGAGACGGTAGGTTCAGTGGGAGGTCATGAGTTGAGAGATCAGAAGTCAGAAGCAAACAACATCTCACCAATCCGGCCTCAAAACATCCTGCTCACCAAGCACTAACATCAGGGAAGCATTTTGGCTCTCTCGTGCCACGCAAGCAGACCGCGGCGGTGCCAAAATGAGCGGCCGCAGCCAGGGCCGAGCACGGCGTTCGAAGTCAGTCAGGCTTGAATGAGATGGGTCGAGAACATCCGACTCTTCTGATTGATTTATAATGATTTATATAGATCCTAGATGAAAATATGATTCCCGATTAGAGAACATGTGCCGTCTGGTTCATTTTTGACCTTGTTTTTGGAATGGATGTCAGTCCTGGATTGATTTGATGAAGGTCAAAGCCTGGGCCTAGTTTTGAGCATATCAATGGCAAGAGGCCCAAAATTTCGCAGCTCTTGATGGTAGGCACTTGACCTCGGAAGACTACACTGCTGGTCAAGCGGGCTCGATGATTGTAGCCAGATATCCTCCTCATGGCGGGCCAGAACCAGTTCTCTGGCAGGTTCATCTGGGTGTGGAGCTGTCGCTGTGGTCCAAAAACACCATGCCAAACCCATATGAGAGATGTGGGAGGCATGCACACACACATACATAAATAGATATAGATATAGATACTGTGAAATGACAAAGGAGTTGTGAACAATACATACTGTTTTTCATTTTTTGCGGCTAAGTCATGAGTTTTTGCCCTAGGGTCACAGAGTCCTATGTCATGAAGCGAAGGTTTGAAGAAACAACATCAACATCAGAGAGGTCAGAGGTTGTCACCGACGATCTGTCAGAGGTTGTCGCCAAACTGGCCTATGTCATGAACGTTTGCCACTGAAATGGCAAATTTCACACCTCTACATGACTTAGGACTTTCCCTGGAAAAAAGTTGTATGTCATATCGGGCCACTTTGGCTAAGTCATTTGACCCCAGTATATATCACAATAATAAAAGTATATGTATGTTTTGTGTTGAAAGTAGAAGATAACACACATAGCAACAATGAAAGGTAAGGCCTTATATACCTTCCCTTTTATATATTTGTCATTCGATTTTCTGTACAGGAATGTCTCTTGGCTCGACCTCCGGGGATCCCACCTCTGGCCCCTGCAGGTGGATCGCACCCGGTGCCCGCATCTGGAGCCCTTGCTTGGAGGAGGCTCCTTCTGTTTGGTCTCTGGTGCCGGGCATCTGACGATTCAAAAAGGAGAGCACATCGAGGAGCTTCAGCTCAATGCCGATCAGCACGAGGTCCATGTGTTGCAGTCAGGCGGGAATCCCCAGATAGGACTCGCGCAGTGCTTTTCTTTGATGTTTGATTGTGATAGGTCGTGATCCAGCTCAAACAAGCCTAGGGCTTCTAGAACCTTTGGGCGGTGGAGTGCCACTGGTCCCCTCAGCAAATGAGGTGCATTTTATGAAGTGGTCCCTGCGCCGGAGATGGAGGCGCAGCCTGGGTCATGCGATGTGCCAATTTCTTGGTTGGACGAGACAATAAGAGGAGAAGGATGAAAACAGCCAGAGAAACCAATGACAAAGCCTTCCTGAATCTGTGGCTTATGGGTGGGTGATTTGGTTCGAGGGAAGGCATGCGGCACGCCACTTGTGTCTCCTTGTGTCTCCTTGCATTCATCCATTCCAATGGCATTGTTTGAAGGGTTAGCCGCACAGCCCATTTCTCCCAGAGCTTCAAGCCGTTCCAGAGGTCTTGAGCCTGTCAGCCTCGCCCTCGATCCAGCACAACATGCGAATCTTCAGCCTCTTCAAAGAGGAGATGGTTGTGGTGGGCGAGGCGGAATCGCTACTAGCAGCTGACCTGAACATTTGGACCGTCGCCAACGTATCAAAAGGGGCCTTGACTGACCAGAAACTACAAAAAGGACGGCACGGCAAAGCTCTGAGGAGAGCAAGCCCGATGGATCCCGATGGTACTTATGGCAAATTTAGGCTTGCTTATATAAGTAAAATTAGAACACTAGGCATCAGCTGGCCTTTCCCAAGACTGTCCCAAGACTGTTCTTCAAAGGTTTAACAGTAGAACTGGGTTGTGGCCCCACCCTGCTCAAACCACCTGTGTTTACAACCTCATCCTTTTTCTGTGAATTTTCCCGCGCTCAGCTAGGTCCTTTATGGTGTACTTGGGACCTCTACTGCATATTTCCCACGTTTATTGAAGCTTGGGCAGCAGATGTGTCTTTGCCCCGACTGCCGTGCCGATGGTGGTGGTGACGGGTGACTCGTCGTGGTGGGAGCTTAGTATTTTAAATGCATATTGAACATACCAGGACCTTCCAAGGCGTGCCCAATGGAAGCCCCTACGCCACTAAGGGACCTCCATTGGACACCCCTTGAAGGTCCAGGTATATAGTCTCAATTGACCGATTTCTATGAAGTTGCCTTGGCGCAGTCAAAAGCGCTCGCCGAGGTTTAAGTTGAGAGAAGGGGAAACCTTAATGATGCACCCTGGCGACAGTATCGGCGTCGTGGCGGTTGATGGCCCTGCCAAGCTGGTTGCGATCTCGATTTGGACGAGGCAGAAGCCCAATCCTCGGCTCTGAGTTGATCATTCGAAGGAGCCGGACGGACCTCGACGCCGGGGCGTTTTCGACCATGGAACGGCCTCCCGGAACCTCCAATCGACCGTTTCCGGCCGTCCCCCGGACTCCACCGGGGCATCGCTTTGGGATGGCAGACATGGGCCTGCCACCACCGGAGTATGACGGGCACGTGCCCGTGGAGGGCCGGTGGGTGAGAAGCGGCAGAGATCCGCAGGATGGACGGCCCCACGGGTGAGATCCGCTGGCGCCCAAATGGGCGGGACCACTCTGGTGGAGGTTCGAGGTGTTGAAGGAGAAGCCTTCCGGACATGGAGAGGATAGACTCGGATAGACCACCCTTAGTTGCAACAAGTCAACATTCTGCCGCACTGATCCACGTCTCACACTTCCTCACACTCTCCCGGAGTGATGGAGAGGATTGCTTGTGGCCCGACGTCGTGCTAACACGACGAGACGTCGCACCACAGCGGGGGGGTGTTTGAGAACCGCTCAAGCTGTAGAACATGCATCACAGATTGGGAAAATACAGCTGCTGCGATTCGGTCTTTTCTCTTCCTTTGTCTTCTTTCCTCCGAAGCTGTTACATCCAAATAAGCCCTCAACGCCTTAGCTGGTCAGGCTGCGACATCAGAGCCTTTTCTGTGGAGTAGGCTGGGCGCCAACGAAGACAGTCTGAAGCTCAGCCAGCTGTGCGGAGGTCTCGATCTGACGAACCAGGACTTACGCATCTCGTGTCGCGGCTGCTGGCATGAGAGGAGGCTCATAGCACCTGGACAACTTGCTCTTAGGACAGTGCCAGGCCCCCCCATCTCTTCACTAATCAGGATGTAACAAACCCCTGTGTGTCAACAACTCGAAAGGAGCCACGATTTCGGCACTTGCTGCCTGGAAGCAGCTGCAAGTGCGGCACTTTTCAGCACTTTGAGCAACAGTCACGATGACAACTGATGACATTCATTCCGCCACTCCGATGTTCACCAGCATGTGCTTGTTGTGGGTGCCATGGACCACTATCGTACCCTAGAGGTGGAGCCTTCTGCGGGGGATTCTCAGCTATGGAGCGCCTACCGGCGGAAGGCGTTGGCGACCCATCCGGATAAGGGCGGCTCCTCAGAGGCTTTCAGAGCTGTGGTGACTGCATTCGATGTTCGGAACGTGAATCAGCAAGTTTTTGTTGGGCTCAGGCTTAGGCACAAGCAGTTATATTGGCAATGATGTTGCTAAAGGAGGCCAGTGTTTGACCTTTGACTCATTGTTGATTGGTCCTGGTGGACACGGTAGACACTCTTGTGTTTATACAAAAGTCTTAGTCACAAGTCAACCGAGCCTTCGATGATGCATGAGGGCAGCCAGGCCACCCACCGAGCCCACAGGATGGAAAATACTGAGAAGTCGGACGATAGGAAGGCGTTTTGGAACCCTTCGGAACCCTTTGAGGTCCCTTTAATGAACATTGCCTCAAACACCTTCTAGATGTTCTCCGCTTGCGGCGCTTGAACTTCGCTCTCAGGAGACCTTGATCGATGCCGCCCGCCGCGCCGCCTACGACCAGCTGCGCGCGGTTCCGGCTCCGCCGGCGTTTCCGGCGGCGCCCGTGGTGCCGCGGCGCCGGTCCGCGGCGCGGGCGGGCGAGGTGCCGCGGCGAGCGAAGGAAGCATGGGCTTCAGGGCCAAAGGAAGCCCAAAAGCCGGAAGCAGAGGATGCTGAAGACATCAGTGCCAAGCCTGCCAAGCATCAGGAACTCTTGAAGAAGCTCTTGAAAAAGACTCGAAAGGAGATGTTCTCCGAACTTCAAGCGCTGAGTGAGGAGGCTCTCCGGGCTTTTGCCTCCTTTTTGGAGTCTTGGAACTTGGTTAAGAGGACTCCTGTCTTTCCTTTTGCAGGAGATTTCCTCGCATGCCTCAAAACTTTGAGTTTCTCCAGGCAGCGATAGCTGTAGGGGTTCTTACTTCTCAATGACTGGGTGCCTATATTCCGTTTTGGTTTGCCGCTGCTGTGTGCGGCTGCTGTGCCGCTGCTGCTTTGTCTCCCCACTTGTCTCCTTACATGTCTCCCCACTTGTCCCACTGGCTCCCTGGGCTAAAGAGGAAAAGATAACTTCCGATTGAGTTTGTTGCTATCTGGCGACTATGCCGGTGTCATTTTTTTTGGGGACCCTCCTGAAGAAGTCAACTGATTGAATTACGCCAGTGGGAGCTGGATCTTGGGGACCATCCGTTCATTGCTTGGGACCGAGCTTGTCATGAAAAAGCCTTGCAGCCTGCTGGCTGAGATCTCCCCACCACTTCGATTCCGAGCCGCAGTTTTGCATGGATTTTCTTGGAGGAAGTGGGCGAACGATGCCCAAAAAAACACGGAGCTTTTTCGCTGAGGAGTCGGACCTGGAGCTGGTTGAGCAGACGCTGGAGGGCATGATTGGCCTGCGGCTTACCCTGAAGAATCAGCAGATGGTCAAGCCGCCGACCGTGAGACCAAAGAAGGACCAGTCCTGTTGTTTTTAAAGACGGGCTCTTTTTGGCCTTCTATTGATGGAATCCGAGCACCACTTTTTCACTGATGAACGCGTCACAGCTGTGCACGGCAGGGACATGAAGAACGGACACCCTTTGAAGAACGCTGGCAAAACTTGATGCTGTGGGGCGTTCTTCCCTGCCGTTCAACCCCGTTGGCCCGCTGCTGCAAGGCCAAGAAGAAGAAGGCGACTTCGGTTGCAGAAGGGCGGCCACTGCGGACTCGCAAGACGGGGCGCAACTTGCTGAAGGGCGTGAGCTGCAATCGACGTGCGGCTCGACGTGGCACTGTCGTTCGTCGTTCGTTCCAGTCACTTCTCGCGGAGCCGAACATGTCGACGATACACGATCCGAAACACGATCCGCACGGAGCAGGCGGATGGCAGGGGCGAAGCAGGTTTTTCATGCAACATTGCCATTTCAGGTCTATGCCAGTTTTTCATTTATATATGTGTATACATTCATAAGTATGAAGAACAAGTGAACGTGACGGTGAGATCAGACGACTTGTTGCGTTCCAGTCATCTAAGACCATTGAGCTTGTTGCGTCAGACCAGAGCCAAGGATGGGTCATACCAGGCCAGGATTTCCTTCAACAATTTCACGATCGGCACACAATACGTCAAGAGCTGCCCGGCCTGGCTTGGATTTTTGACCCGTGATCTATGCAAGGGCTGCAACGGGGCACCTTCATTTTTTTAGGCTATGAACACCTTTTGTGTGGAACGTTCATCCATGAAAACAGGCGCAATTGGAGATCGAAATGGCTCACAGTTTGATCGTTTTCCGAACCTGCGGAGGCTTCGCTTTTGTGCCAGGGGACAGTTTTCGAGTGACATAGATGCGGGAGGTGTGAACGGACGCGCGCCTTTTGCAGTTGCGACCCAGCCGCTGGACCCGCGCGCGCGCTGTGCGCGCGTGTGGCTGGTGGCGCCTTCCGGACCGCAGCCGTGTCCTCATGAGGTCTGGATGCAGCCGTGGACATGCACATTTGTTTGGTCCAGATGCGACGAACGGCCATGGGGAACATCTGAGCCGGTGCTGGGAAAGACTTTCCGGAGATCATGCGTGAGGCCATCAAGAGCATGCAAGAAGAGAGGGCTGCTACAGGCACCGCAAGCGGCAGATTCCTTTGCTTTGAAGAGGGTGGCCAAGTTTGTGGATCTTTAGTTTCCCTGCGTGAATGTTCCAAGAGTTCATGCCATTTGTATCCATTTGCGGTTGAACCCCTGATCGGCTACAATATTGGCAGGTGCTGCCGCCCTGCGATTGACCTTCCGCACTCACTATCGAAACAAATTTACCAAGTTTCAGCGTGATCTGGATGCTGTGATGAAAGCCTGGAGGGAAATGATGGATGAGAGAGAAGCTCAGATTTGTTTGGTCGTTCGGGTTGTGCCATGCACTTGCTGCGAGCTGACGGTGGCCTACCCTTTCTGCCAGGGCACAGGGTGTGCGGAGTTTGGGCACGCCTTTCTAAAGGGATATGTCTTTGGGCCTGGGTGGTGTCGGTACCTATCGGAGTAAGGCTGGGGGGTAGGCACTGTAGCACCCTGAAAAATTGCCGCAGACAAAGGGTGTGAAAGGAGGTGAGACTCAGGTTGCACAGTCCGAAGGCCTTGCCGTTCGAAGGACATCTGGACAAGACCGAAGACCTCGCGCCTGTCACTGAGGACAAGACTCAGGAAGGAAGAGCTCGTGACCTGGTCCCTCAGCTCAGTTGAGAGAGCTTTGGGCGAGCGAACAGTCACAGTGGGGCGAATTCACGCAGTTGGTGGACCAAGTGGGGCGTTGTACAACGATTCATGACAGTCATTTCAAGAAGCCTCGCTTTCTGGAGGTGTTTATGAAGCTGGAGGGCCCCTGCTACAAAGTAAGCTCTTGTTCAGTCACCGTAGACTTGTAGAATTATGGTCTTGAGAGGGTTCATGTTCCAGGTCTATGTCAGCGACCAGTAGTCGCGAAACCATTTCATGTATATATATATATATCCCTCACACTGCTGGCTAACCCTTCACCTTCTTGTTTTTTCATTGATTTTTGTTTTCTCCAGCACTCGCTGATGTCCTCAACTCCAGCTTGCCGTCACCGCCCAGGCCGCGAAGGCGGCGGCGGAGGAACAGCGGAGAGCCCAACGCGCGGAGCGGCAACGGCGGCGCTTCGAAGCGCGCGAGGCCCAACGGCGCCTCGACGAGGCGGACGAGCGTCACGTGGGGAATGGCAGGGGCACGGGAGGGCAGGGCAGACATTGGATTGAGATCTGATGAATCTGACGATCTGGATGATGTTACTAGTAGCCTCCTTGTATCTCCTTGTTACTCGTAGTAAGAATTAGTAGTAATTTAGTAATGAGCCCTTTGTTACTAGTAGCGATGCCCTTGCTAGTAGCTTCTTGTTACTTCATTGAACCCAACGCACGCACCGAGGAGACTGCGGCAAGAAAGTGGTGCCAAGCGACGTGAAGAGCTCCGTGCCCGGCGCCGAAGAGCGGTGCTGGCCAGGCTGGCACGTTTCTGGTCGGCAGTGGGGCCCAGATGGATCCTGGCTGGGCGCCCGTGGGCGGACGAGGATGGCAAGTCGTCTCACCGGGCGGGCTGGGCGAGGGTGGGGAAGAACATCCGAACATCCACAGAAAAGCACGTGCGAAAGATGGCATGGAAGAGGACGAGGATAACATGTACACTGTGCCATCCTTCACCACATAAGTTTGAGGTTTGACAGTTGCTGACATGAGAAGAGCTGAGTGCTTTGAGGTTTGAAGAGCTTGGTGTCAAAGCTGATGAACCACTACGAGAAGTCTCGACGACGGCGGCTGTTGAGCACCTGGGGAGTTCCAGAGCTACCGGAAGGTTTGCCACTCACCTGAGGTTCCGGAAATGATAGATGTCTACAATAGATAGTTCAACAGACGCATACAGCATAATTACATTGTTACATTGTACACATCCACCTATTCATCCACACACCCATCCCATCCATCCACCCATCCCATCCATCCACCCATAGCCAGCCGCCCAGCCATCCACCCATCCCTCTTCCCGTCCATGCACGAATCCACCCAGCCAGCCACACGATATATATATATATATATATATCATCGTGTTACACACATATATATATATATATATGTCGAAACACCGGTAGCCGACCGACTCCAGTCGATCGAAAACCCATCGGGCGATCCTTTTCAGCTCCAGCCGATGAATGTCCCTGCGGATACGACGATCGATATGCTTGCACCTGGAAGGAAGACATGGTTGCGGCACTCATGGAAGTCAACACGGCTTTTAAACTATAAAAAGTTCGAACCAAGGCTTCTTTTGACAAGGCTTCGACTCTTACGAATTGAATCTCTACTTATAGGTGCGAGGCACATCGGTGCCGGGGATCTTTGGTCCCTCCCAAGCGGCATCTTCTGCTGCATCACGTTCGGCGATGAAACGGCCCAAATAATTTGAAAGATCAAGCAACAGGCCTGACGCTGATCGCTGACGTGCCGTTACCCACTTTACATATGACTTGGCTCGGTCTTCGGGTGAGCATGCCAAATCATGGTAAGTCATGTTCAAACCTTTGTACTGTCCGAACTGGATGACAGTGCGACCCCATTGGTGCATGTCCATCACATCCGGAGGCAACGTTGGCAGCATACTTGAGCTCAAATCTGAACCTGGCATCGGAGGTGGAATTCCTTCGGTGGCAGCATAGGATCCTTCCATGGAACCTGAGTCCTTGAACTTGGGATGTGCTGATGGACCATATCCACGTTCCTTCTTCGGTTGCGGCGAGGCTGCTGACAACTCCTCTCGACGTTTGGAGGCGTCAGTCATCGATCCTTCAGGTCTGGGTCAGCAGCTCCGGAAGCAATACCTGGTGCATCGATTGGCAGGGATGGCATCACCTGGTCTGACGACGCCTTGGCCATCAGATAGCGAAGCTGTGCTGCTTCATCGGGAGTGAGCGGCATTTCGGTATGCCTTTCAAGAAACAAATGCGGCGCGTGCTCTTGATCACAAAAGGCTAAAATAGAAAACGACTAGTGAGCAGGACAACAGCTAAGGCTGTCACCCTGTCCCTGGTCTGAATGAGGAACTTCTTTCAAGACCGATCACAGCAAAAAAAATTTGACAACACACTCGAAACATTGTGACACGGCTGCATGCTATGACAAAACTGCTCAGCTATTTACTGATGCAAGAAAACGTATAACACAAGAGCTTCAAGACACAGTATTCCCTGTAGTCTACCGATGACTACCTTTCTTACTGCAAACTCTATGCTCTCAAACAACAACTATAGTTGCACTGAATTATCCATGACGTCGGCTTTCAAGCTTTTCCTTCGTTCGCGTTCTTCAGCTTGTTGTCTGAGAACCGTGTCCTCTGGAGAAATCTGATATGCCCCTTGACGGACACAGGATCGAAGCAAGTCAATTGGCTCTTGGCTGTCTTTGGTCAAGCCATCTGCCAACATCCACTTCGTGGGAAGCCATCGAATGCTACCTCCTGTCAACTGAAGAGATTCCCGAAGTATCACTATATCAATACATGTTCTTCGATCTTCTATTGACGTTGGTGATGAGGGGGAAATCAGGTGGTCATACAATGACTTACAATCTGTGGCCAGGATGGGTGATCGTTTCAATACAAGGACTGGTGGTCTCTTCTGCAACAGGTCTCGTGCGTCTCTTGCCTTGAAAGGGCCATCCAAGGTCTCTGAAAGGAGGAGTGACAGCCATTCTGCCGTTCCACTGGCAGTTGACATGGCTTGGCTTTCACCTCCTAAGGTGGAACTCAGGGCCCTTGGCAACTTATAGCTTTTCCAAGCCACTGGCGTCCATGGAGACACCTTGCCGTCATGCAACTTCTTATGAACAAAAGCCAAAACATAACCAGCTTGTGTGTGGCTACCTACGTTGGCGAACGCTGCATCGCTATGACAGCATATTGTCAGGGACTCAGGTTCAATGGATCTAAAACGAATTTTGAGGTCCTTGAATTGTTTGGCCCTTCGAATAGTGTTGTTCGCACTTCTGAGATGTTGGATGGTCGGTTTAGGTAGGCCCTGTTGACACATGCTTGTTTGGCATGACAAGTCGGGACGGCTTTGCGATGACAACCAGTTAAGGCTACCGTTGATTGCTCGGAGGACCCTAATTTGTTGTTCATTGAGCAACTGATTGGAGGAAACACCTTTGGGGATGTGAGCTGGTCTCAAACCCTCTGCAAAACTTGCCTGTGACATCTCAATGTCAAACGTCTTTGGGCATTGATCATACATGGCACCACAAAATTCACCATTGGATATCCTCCACTTCCGGTATGGGAACCTGGCTTTCAGTTTCTCTAAGGACTTTTCAAACAGGGGTCCCTCACCTCCTACTGCGGTGTCGTCGACATGAACGCCGAGCACTCCCAGCATTCCTACTGACACATTGAACTCACAGGAGCGTGTCGGTTTGGCAGGCAATGGCACATGTGGTCGAACTTGGGACTTGCACAGGTCGCATTCCAACGTCTTGGCCATCTCAATGGCTTTGTCGGACGCAGATCCATGTCGGAGGATGCGAACCAGATCTTTAGTGCTACAGTGGCCGAGATTCTTGTGCAGTGGATGCAGGGCTCGTTTGATGGCTTCTTCATCCTCCCCTTGGATCTCTTCACGACTCACAAGTACTTCATGAACTTCCATGGGGCAATCATGCCTAATCTGCACGAGGTGCACCTGTTGGGCACGTTCAAAGGCCGGCACGGTCTTCAGAACAGCTTGTACAAATGCCGGTGTGTATTGTGCAACATATTGGCTAATCGATCCCACTTCAGCATGTGTTCCCGCCACCACGTCGTGACAAGTGTGATGGGGGTCTCTCTTTCCAGGACACGTGAGGCCTAGGGTTGTCATTGATTGATGACTCACAAGCAACCTGGTGGCCTTTCGGATGTATTGTTTGCTGTGGGGAAGTCTTAACCCAAACCTACACATGTGGCACTTGACATGGAAGTACTTGTTCAACAAACATTGCATCTCTTCATAG